AGATTCAATAATATCCTCACAGCAGCTGCAGTAGAAGCATGTGGTAAAGTCCCAAGTGGAAGGCGGGGACATAGGACACCTTTGGTGGACAGAAGAAGTCAAATTGAAAATAGGAGAAAAGAAAAGGGAATGGAAGCAATACCTGGCAGCCGGAACACAGCTAAAGAAATAGAGAAATATAAACAATATGTGGCACTCAGAACAGAGACCAAAAATATTGTGCTTAAAGCAAAACAGAAATCATGGGAATAGTTTGGAGAAAAGTTAGAGCCACAGTTGGACGAGGCCCAATGCGGCTTCAGAGCAAATTGAAGTACTCAAGACCTTATCTTCACACTGAGACAGATGAGTGAAAAAGCCCTTGAATATAAGAGTGAGATGCACCTATGTTTTTTGGATCTGGAAAAATCATTTGACAGGGTACCCTGGAACAAGCTCTGAGACTGCTTGGCAGGGAAAAACATCCCAGCACCCCTGATCAGTGCAATACAGAGTTTCTACAAAAGCTGCAGAAATTATTTAAGAACGGCAGACCAAAAGTCAGAAGAATTTAAGACCACCAGCTGTAATAGACAAGGTGATATTCTCTCACCTTACCTCTTCGTTCTTATGACGGATGATGTCATCCAGACCTGTAAGGAGAAGACAAAGAAGTACTCTATAGGGTACTGGAAGATGAGACCAATCTGTATATCAGAGCTGGCATTTGCAGACGATGTGGCCCTGATAGCTAAATCAGAGGCACACCTTCAGCTCAACTTACTTGTCTGGAAGGAAGAGCTTGAAAAGAGAGAGATGACCATCAGTATCTCGAAAACTAAAACCGTGGTGATCTTAAGAGAGGGGAAGAAACACCAGATCATGATGGGACAGTATGCATTGGAGCGAGCTAACCAGTTTAAATACCTTGGAGTTGTATTAAACAGAAACGGATGCATTAAGACTAAGCTGGCTACACGAAAAGCCTAGGTTTCTTAGCAAAAGAGAAATTGGCAAGAGGACGAAAATGGCTGTTTACCGCTCTACTTGTGTACCAGTCCTGACCTATGGGTGTGAGTCATGGGTAATAACAACAGCTCACAGAAGCCAGCTGCAGGCCTCGGAAATGAGATATCTGAGAAAGATGGTCCAAGTGACAAGAAGGGAAAAAGTCCGCAATCAGACAATACGTCAAGATCTTGATACCCAGTCCTTACAAACCCGAGTGGATCCGTCACAGTTACGATGGTTTGGACATGTATGCAGAATGGGAGAAAATCGGCCACCATGGCAGGCATGGGAGGCTAAGAACCAGGGAACCAGACCTCCAGGACGACCCAGGGTGCGCTGGGAAGACAACATCCGACAGTCCCTAACTGACAGAGGACTGGAATAGAACAAAGCCAGAAAGAAAACTGCTGATAGAGACTTCTGGCGATCTCGCTGGCAAACCTCTACACCCCAAGGTAGACAAGGAGCGACTATGTAAGTAAGTAGGAATAAATATTTTGTTCAAGTGTCATTTAAGCTATTAATTTATCATCCATAAAATTACACATAGTGTTACTTTTCAGTGGACAACAGCATTCTTATCAACCTAGTGAATACGGTTGAGGGGTTGCTCAAACCAAAGGGTATACAATTAAAGGCATAATGGCCGTCCGAAGTGCTAAACGCAAGAAATTAACGTATTCCTTTTTGTTTTCATAGGAATCTGATATTAGCCTGTACTAATAGCAATCTTAGAGAAGCAGTTGGCTTTTTATAAGTTGACAAATAAGCTTCCCTGATCAGGAAGCGGTTCTCGTCCAAACTCACTTATGAAATTTAACTTCCATAAATCAATGCGAAATCTATTTTCTCCCGACGCCTTTTTCGGTAAGACTACATTTGCATTTTATAGTGAAGCTGAAGGTGAAATCATTCCTTCTTTCTACACATACTGGATCTCTTTTCTCGCCGCCTCCTCCTTGGCAAAAGGTAACTGATGTAATGCCTCATACAAAATGTCATTCTTAGACAAGTTCATATCAAATTCTACTAACTGAATGCTTCCTGACTTTTCAGTGAAGACTTTTTGAGGATTGCCTAATTCTTTCCTTTTTTTTTTTTTTTTCTGAAATTGATATGAAACAACGCATTAAAATCTGACTTTTTTAAAATTCTGTTTATAGGTTGAAAACTTGGTTTAAAATATTTCATATACATTTACAGAAGCAAAAATATTAAAATGGCAAAAAATGATGACCTGGTACCTATACTCCACCAACATTTGAAAGAGAGTAGAACAAAGCAGGCGACACAAATAGACAGCAGGTAAGGAAAGGAGGGCCATTCATGATTATTTGTTGGTGGTGTTGGTACCCTGTTATGATGGTGATGATGATGATAGGGTTACATCGTTTATACATTTTTTACAGACTAGAAAATCAAATTAAGGGTGGTGATAATGATGCATATTTAAACTGACCTCACATCTCACCAACATTTGACAAAAAAGGAGAAAGGGAAAAAGAACAGGCTGGGGTAACCAGGTGGATGGTTGAGAACTCGTACCTGTTTTTTGGGCGAAAAATGCCTGTACAAATACCGCCATTGACACGGATCCTGAAATACTTTTCTTACGTCTTTCATTTTTAATTTCTGCTTATAGATTAATAGTTCGCCTTTCATTAAAACATAAAAAGATATAAAACCAAACGAACAGTGGAACATCTATTTCCGGTGGCCGCACACAAGTCAGATATTTTACCGGCCAGGTAGAGATAGTATTTCGATTGGAGATGCGCCATTTAAGTGAATTTATATCGTCTCGTTCGTATTTGAAGTACTGTAGACTAATGCAGTGTGCTGATGAATGTTTTCCAGCTACTACGTCAACTCGTCGTTTGTGTTTGTAATAATGTGAAGTTGACTGGTTCTACTTATTGTCTGGTTTCATATCTCTTCGTGACACAAAGATTATAGAACAAACTGGTTTGTAGAAGGATGGCTCTTTGGTTGGGAGAGGGCAATGAAAACACAAATGAAGTGGCCACTTGTAAAGACACAACATTTTTATCACAATCACTCAGGAAGGTCGAGAAGATGACAAGGAAGTAAAAAGGAAAACAAGACTACAAGTGGGAAAATTATGTTGTTTGACAGTGTTCACATCAAGATACGATCTTGGGGAATTTCCTTTCTTAGTGTCCTCACTTTATCAAGATATTTATCTTGGGGAATTTCCTTTCTTATCCTTAACTGTCCTCCTCCAACTTTATCAACATTTATTTATCTTTCACTTCTTTTTCTTTCTCTTCTGCTGCTGCTGACTCTTGTTCTTCTTCTTGTTCTTCTTCTTGTTCTTCTTCTTGTTCTTGTTCTTCTTGTTCTTCTTCTTCTTGTTCTTCTTCTTCTTGTTCTTCTTCTTCTTCTTCTTGTTCTTGTTCTTCTTCTTCTTCTTCTTGTTCTTTTTTTCTTCTTCTTCTTCTTCTTCGATCCCTCACTTCTTTTAAAACAACTGGCTTGCTCCTTTTTGCTGTCCAAGTTCTAAGAATTCTTGTGTAAAATATCTCTGATGCCCCGAGAGATTGTTTGGCTTGCATATTTATTTTGCAGAATTCAAAGCCATATGCTAAAACTAGTTCTAAATTACACGCACGAAGTTGTGTGTGTGTGTTTGTGTGTGTGTTGTGTGTGTGTGTGTGTGTGTGTGTGTGTGTGTGTGTGTGTGTGTGTGTGTGTGTGACATGGATTTATTGCACAAAATGTACTTAATTTTACAAATGCAGTTTTCGCCTGTCGGATTGTCTTTGTTATCTGCAAATGCGGTTTGAACAACAGATCAACATCATGACAAACGGGTAGTAACCCATTAGTGATTCGTTCTCCTTCTCTAACTCAAGTCTGGGTCTGAAAAGCTCTGCAGCACCAGCGAGGATCCTAAACTTTCTGTAGATTTGTAACTCCAAATTTTGCCCGGGCAGCGCCATTAGGCTACTCTTTGCGATTTCCAACTGCCAATGGATTTTTTACGTGAGCAATATTGCACACGGGCGTCTGATGTCACTACCCAGAGACCAGGGGGAATTACTAGAAGTCCAAGACCACGTAAAATAACCCAGCCCTTAGGATTGAATCCGGAACCTCTACCACTCGAGGCGGACACCATGCATCGAGACCACGCAGCCTCACAAATGCAGGAACACAAGGACACAAAAGAACAAGAGTTGAGTTGATTCAAGAATCGACATCACAGCACTTGGGTCATTTCCATAAGCGCTCCACTCCCATCCTCAGCAGCCAGCGAAGAGTTTCAATACAAATGGTATCAGTAGCATTCTGATTAAACGTCCGTCTTGCCCTTTTCCCGAACCCCGAGCATCTGCCAGAACCCTTCGTCACTTTTCGCTGCACCAATCCCACCAGACCGCAGCGATCCACCGAGATCCAGCGAGAAACAAGAAAACATACAGAACATTTAAAAGAATACATATACACAAGAATAAGAAACTTGTTGATATAAAGCAATAAAATATCTCAGAGCAAAGCAAGCTGACTCAAACAAAACAAACATAATCACAAAATAAAACCTTGCAAAATGATGAACAAGACACCTCTGTTCAGTGACTTGTCATCTGTTTTGTGTCTCATCGGTTCTCTTTAGTTATTTGGTGATTTGCCAGATCCGCTTATAAACACACACACACACACACAAATAATTACTACCACCACTAAACTTTGCAATAAAAGCTATCACTAAACTTTGGGTTAAAATATAAAAGTTATTACCAAACTTTGCAATAAACTATAATTACTACCCTGCAATTCTAGGATATAATATAATTACATGCCTTAACTATGAAAATAAATGTAATTCTACTCCTAAACTTTTGGATATATAATTAAGGCCTACATTGTGGGATATATCCTAATTTCGTCTCCTAAATTTTGGGGTTAAATATAATTTCTACCCTGAAACTTTATGACAGAATAGAATTACTACTCTTTATTTTTGAGATAAAATATAATTACTAAGTCTAAACTTTAGGATAAAACGACAGAGTAGCGATGTGGCACATGTTGCTGCGGTTACGAGCCACGTAGACGTAGCCTTCATCTCCCCAGTCACTTCCCCAGCTGTAGAGAAAAATTTTAAAAAAAAAACAGATTTCACAAGATGGCATATTCTTTCTAATATGTATGGTTTTCTTCTTCTTCTTAACGTTTATCATCATCATCATCCTTTGTGTGCCGTTAGACGTCACATAGGGCTCGCATTTGATCCCTCCACTCTGAACTATTGCGTGCAACTCTCTCGATTTCTGACATGGAGTTCAGCCCAGTATTTTTTGCCTCTCGTAATAAAGTTCTTCTCGGTATTTCCCTTGGTCGTCCATTTTAGTGCTTGTTTTGTAGTGCTTTGCTTGTTTCATCTCAGAGGTGTGTATAATTCTTTGCTTGTTTCATCTCAGAGGTGTGTATAATTCTTTGCTTGTTTCATCTCAGAGGTGTGTATAATATATCTACAACCTGAATTGTTTTATTTCAGTCTTTTCAGGTATTTGTGTTGAAGCTTCCCTGATCTCATTTTCTTGTTTTTATTCACCCTATTTTCTCAGGCATTTTTTTGTTTCAAATGCATTTAACTTTCGTTCTATACCTTTGATAGTTCTCTAGCTTTCCCTAACGTATGTTAGAACTGAAATAAGATTAGAAAGAACCCGCTTCTGGACTTTGATTGTGTTCCAGACTCGTAAGTTGTACATGCAAACCCACTTCACAGATGTGGCTTATTTGTATGCAGACTGTTGGTTCTTCATCTTTTAAACATATGCACTCAGAATTTGAAGGAAAATCCACAGTTTGTTGACTTTCACGACATACTTATAATGGGTCATTAGTTTTAAAAATTATAATGTTGTTACGTGAGATGTGAGTGTTTCTTGAGATGTAATAAATAAATAACAATCTGCATTTTTTATGGCTGTTGCTGATCGTTGCTAGAAAGGCATTTTCGTCTGATGGCCTCACCATCGTTTTTCTGGTCTCTAATTAATTTATGGGAGTGGGTTGCCAGGTTTCGGTTATACTTTGGTGTTGGACTATTGTCGTGCCTTTTTTTTTTTTTTTTAGAACAGCTCAAGTGTCCAAACCTGGCAGTCTTACTGGTGGTTCTTAGTAGCTGCCAACATGTGGCAGCCACCCCCCCCCCCCCCTTTCTTCCCCAGACCCCGGAGTATCGGCTCTGACAAAACCAGGAGAGGGTAGCCGGATGTTTAGTAGCATTCAGTGAGTGAGGGTAGCCGGTTTAAGCACGAAAGACTGGACTCGGCTGGATGTGCGGAAGAAATCAGTACTTGGTTTAACGGAACTGACGGCGAGAACCAGCAACGAGATGTGGAGCGAGAAGAGCACTCCAGTTATCTCCACTGCACATGACTTCTACTACAGTAGTCTCCCCTTTTATGGCATTGAATCCAGATGGAGAGACAAGGGAGTGAGGTCAGTGAAACTGTGAATCTCTTTTTCACTTTAAACCATTGCGTTGTGCAAGTCACTTTCTTACATTTCACATAGATGAAAGTGTGGTCTTTATCACATATGATGGGCGAACAACAATTAACCTGTATAACTGGTTTTATTCCGTCTTCTTTTAATTTCTTCATTTATAGTGTTAAGTCTTTAGTTTTACGCCGGCAGCTTTTCTCAGACATCTCAATTTTTAACAACCACCTGCTTCTGTGATCGAATACTCCCACACATATGTTAACAATCCTGTGATCATGTACTTTACTGCCAATAACTGCTTTTATTATATACCATTTTGTGGTGTGGGTGGGGGAGGGTGTCCTTTGTGAATGAGGATTTTGGGCCGCGTGGTTAATGCTGTTGCCACGGACTGTGTATGTAAGGATTTATTTTTGCCTCCAACAGAAAAAAAAAATCCCCAGCCTTACCGATGATACGAACCCGGGTCTTCCACATAACAGCCCAGCGTTCTAACCACTCGACCATCCGCTTCTCGATGCTGAACTGCCGTACCTATTAACGATCTTTTAATTACGTGTTCAAATACTTTCATACCTATTTTTAACAATCCAGTAATCCTGCGATCCTGCACTGCCATACCCGACAACAAGCATGCAATGGTTGATAGTTTTACATGTATCGTCTGTAAACACACCTGTTGTCGGAGAAACACAACAAATAACATTGGAAATCTATACTATAAATCAGCAAATTACTGTCATTCTGTAATAGAGCTCCTCTAAAACCGTTAACAGTAGCGATGTGTCATTTGCGCATGTCATTCTGCCTGCCATTTATAAGTCAACTAACTACTCAGCTTTAAACTTCTAACATTATTATCACAATTTCCTGTTCCACTGCATAAGCAATCAAAATTTATTAGTCGCAGGGGCAATAAGTCTGCTTGGGCTTCGATTTGACTGACGAGTGCTTCTCCCATGGACGACTCTATGTGGGATTGTTAAGATCAACACTATCAATCATCGCCAATGATACCAGGTAGTTGCGTCCCTTTTCATGAGGCTGCAGAACCAACCCCAGTATTTTTTGGCTGTTGTATTTTTACTAGGCAAATTGTACGTTCAGTTGTTTGCCAATGCCCTGGACGGTCAGCTCTGGGTACCACTGTCGAAACCAAGGGAAAAAATCGTCCGCAGCTGGGATCGAACCTGGCACCCCGGCATTACGTAGAGCCTAAATCACAGACACGGAGACTAGAAAAATATTGAACAAAACCATGTATTGAAATAAATGTGTAGTAACGTGGTGAATACAATTAATTAAGGTAAAAAAAGAATGAGTCTGAATCAATCCCGGGCGAAGCCAGGCAATACATTTTTAGTTAAACCGTAAGAAATACAGTTAAAGTTTTTAAAAAAAAATAATACAAATGTGAAAAGCGACACCAATACCAGAATAATATTGTGGTATTTGATTGTAAGTTTTAGGCAGTGTTTTTTTTTTTTTTGGGTGGTGTGCAACGGTGGTCAGTATTGACACCTTTTTAGAGCATCATTTTCAGCGCTTCTGCAATCGTTGTTGCGTATGCGTCTTTGACATTGCTAACGTGCTCCATAATGCCGGGGTACTTTGTTTGATTGCAGCTGCTGCCGATTTGGAAGCAGGTCGCTTTGCCATGGTTTTGACAATGATTTGACAGCAGACCCTTAGTTAGGTACTCTTTTCGATTCCCTACTGCCAATTAATTTTTTTACGTGCACAGCAATACATACGGGCGTCCGATCTTACTACCCATAGACCAGGGGAAATTGCTAGAAGTCCACGTGAAAAATCCCAGCCTTCACCGGGGTGTAAACCAAGGACCTCCAGCTCTGTAGGCGGACGCCATGCGTCGAGAACACACAGCCCCCCACTCCCCTTTTTCCCCCAGCCACCACTAGAAGTCCATGGCTTGAGCCCAGTGTGTCTCCAAAGAACATGTGAAAGTGGGGGGAGCCTCTATACAATTGTCCAGCCCTCTGTGCTTGTGTAGCCAATTTTTTTATAAGGAGTAGAAAATTATAGGGAAGAGAAAAAGTTGGTAAGAAACAACAATTAGTTTATGTTAGCTTTACAAAATCGATCACAATAAACAAACAAAGGACGTTGCGGCGATTAGCCTTCATCAGCACATAAAGGACAACACAGTACACATACACAAAAAGGCTCTAACTATGAAGTGACTACATAGGACTCTAATGTATAAAATTAACGATACTCATCTAGTGTCCCTGGCGAAAAATCTTCGTTCAAATGAAACGACGGTCAGCCTATATACCTCCAACGCGCAGGTAGGGGCAAAAAAAGGGACGGGCTGGACGCCAACAGCGTACACTAAGTGTCTAAGGAGGGAGGGAGGGGTTGGCCTACAGGGCGTAACCGGGGTTGGGTTGTGGGGGTGACCTTAGTCCATCCGCGTGGAATAAAAGTGGTGCCTGTGCTTGCAAACAAATATCGACAGACAGACAGCTAGATAGATAGATAGATAGATAGATAGATAGATAGAAGATAGATAGATAGATAGATAGATAGATAGATAGATAGATAGATAGATAGATAGATAGATAGATAGATAGATAGATAGATAGATAGATAGATAGATAGATAGATAGATAGATAGATAGATAGATAGATAGATAGATAGATAGATAGATAGATAGATAGATAGATAGATAGATAGATAGATAGATAGATAGATAGATAGATAGATAGATAGATAGATAGATAGATAGATAGATAGATAGATAGATAGATAGATAGATAGATAGATAGATAGATAGATAGATAGATAGATAGATAGATAGATAGATAGATAGATAGATAGATAGATAGATAGATAGATAGATAGATAGATAGATAGATAGATAGATAGATAGATAGATAGATAGATAGATAGATAGATAGATAGATAGATAGATAGATAGATAGATAGATAGATAGATAGATAGATAGATAGATAGATAGATAGATAGATAGATAGATAGATAGATAGATAGATAGATAGATAGATAGATAGATAGATAGATAGATAGATAGATAGATAGATAGATAGATAGATAGATAGATAGATAGATAGATAAATGCTTCTCTCTTACTGTCAGCTATCAAATAGAGACAGTAAGGATGCTTGTTATACAAAAGTAATCAGTCGAGCCCGAGAGTAAGACTGGTAACAACCAGAGTGTAAGGGAGCGATGAAGGGATAGATGGGAAAACAGCATGTGTGGATGGTGGTGTGGATAGGCGAGTGTGTCCTGGATAGATGGGTGGGTAGGTGAATGGATGGAATGGTGGATGACTGTATTAGTGGATGAATGGAATGGTAGATGAATGGATGGGTGGGTAGATGAATGGATAGAATGATGGATGACTGTATTAGTGGATGAATGGTATCGTAGATGGATGGATTGATTGATCAAATATGAGATGAGGTAAAAACATGAGTCTAGTAACACAGTGCTTCTCTCTTACTGTCCGCTATCAAATAGAGACAGTAAGGGTGATTTGTATACACAGTATTGGTAGAGCCCAAGTGCAAGGCTGGTAACAGCCAGAATGGAAGGAAGCGGTGAAAAATAGCATTAATGGATGGTGAGATAAATGGTGTGGGTAGATGAATGGGCGGGACGATGGTTACGTTCGTAGATAGATGCAATGGTAGATAGATGGATGGATCTGCCTATATGTATGCTGATATATTAAAATAGGTTGGTTGCTTTGTTTTAGTATCCAGAAGCCATGAGTTGTTAATCCTTAGGCTCGGTATTACGGATATCGCAACCCTTCGGCCTTGATTCCATTATAAATACCGTAAAGCTAGGAGAAATGTGGCTTATATGCCTACTCCCGGACCACATGGAGTTCGTCACCCGCTCACCGCGCAATCCGGTTTAGCCAACTACGCTAGAGAGCCGGGGATTTAAACAGGTCCAAACAAGGGTCTCATACTGTGATGCTTCTCTCTTACTGTCATCAAGCAAGTAACGACAGTAAGGGTGATTGTTTTTTAAAGTATCAATCGAGCCCACGCGCAGCAACGTCGTGTTGCCTGAGATACCTGCTGAGTAGGTAGCCGAGACTAGTGATGGATTGTACATCGGATATGTGTGCAAAGAAACGTGGGGAGCGATGAATGGATGGACACATCGAATAATAGGCTGAGTGGATTGGGATGAATGAATGATATGATATATGGGTGGACGAGAGGATGGATGGGTAGATGGAAGGATATATAGATGGATGGGTCTGAATGTATGGTAATCTGACATCGCGTGAAACAGGGTCTAGTGATGCAGTGCTTCTATCTGACTGTCTGATGTCACACAGAGACAGTAAGGATGACTGTTATACCCAATATCTGTCGAGTCAGAAGTGCATACCCCCAATGTGTACACATACTTACCCTCTCGGTAGTCAAAACGAGATATGTACACTGTATAGGAGGAGTGCGTTCCAACACTATCACGAAGTTGTTCCACATTAGGACAGTGCATCCATATGTAACGAGGAAAAATGAATTGATGAATGAAAGGTTGTATGAATAGGGGAGAGAAAAGAGAGAAGAAGATAGAGAACGAGAGAGGGGGGGGGGTAGGGGAGAAACAAAACAGAAAGGGGGAGAGGAAGGGGAGAAGAGTAAGGAGAGGGAAGACCAGAGAAAACTTGGTATATACCTAGAGAGAGAGAGAGAGGGGGGAGAGAGAGAGAGTGAGTGAGATAGAGAGAGAGAGAGAGAGAGAGAGAGAGAGAGAGAGAGAGAGAGAGAGAGAGAGAGAGAGAGAGACTAGTATCCAAGTATATTATGTAGTGTCAAGCAACCAGCAACATAATCTGTCGAGACCTAGGGGATAACCCTCATGCTATGTAACTGGAATATCATGACAGTCAGAAACTAACGTGGGATGGGCGTGGGTGTCGTGGGGAGGGGGAGGGGGATAAGGGTGCGTTACCGGGACACTGGTAATTTATACGAAGCTATGTTGGGTGTTAAGGCCTAGTGGTGAGAGGTTACCCATCAAATATATAAGTCGGTTTTCCAAAGTTTTCCGATGTCGATCGTCAGACGAGCAGGATCTGATGGCCGTGACCTGAATGTCAGCGGTCCCCCGATGGTCAGCGCTGTTGAAATGAGTGGAAACTGGCCTGGCTGTTTGGTTAGTGATGTCATGAAGGTGCTGGCGAAACCTGTCGGCTAAGCGAAGGCCGGTTTCCCCGATGTACTTGATGTTGCACCGTTTGCAGATGATAGCATAGATGACGTTCCTACTAGTGCAGGAGAATTCATCTTTTATGCTAAAAGTGCCTTTAGGGAAAGTCACATCTGAAGTATTCAGCACGTATGGGCAGGTGTTGCACTGAGATCTAAGGCAAGCCTTAGTGCCCGGATGAGTTGGGGCGGGTCCCCGTACTCTGCTGTGTACCAGTAAATCTCTGAGGTTGCGGTCCCGCTTATATGCCAGTAGAGGTGTCTCTGAAAACACAGCGTTGGTTACTGGGTCCGCTCGGAGGATAGACATATGGCGGAATAGGATGTTCTTGATAGCAATGTTATGAGGGTGGTAAGTTAAGGAAAGTATGGGTCTAAGGTTCTGCCGTTTAGGCCTGGGGATGAAAGCATCCACCCGACTGATGCTCTGGGAGCGGCGGAAGGCAGATTCTAAGACAGACTCAGGATATCCACGTGATCGGAAGAAATTCATCATTTCGTGGGCCCTACTGTGAAAGTCATCATCATCCTGGCATAATCGTCTAAGACGCAAGAGTTGAGAGAAAGGAATGGCGTCCTTACAAGACCGAGGATGAGAGGAGTCATAGAGTAGAAAGGCATGGGAGTCGGTCGGTTTATAGTAGACCGATGTAGTGAGACCACGAGGGTTGATAGAAACTGAAAGGTCCAAGAAATTGACTGAAGAGGAAGAAATATGGTGGGTTAGTTGGATACTGGGGTGAAAATTCGAGAAGAATTCAATGAAGTTTTCCAGTTCCACTACTGACATATCGGTGACACCAAAACCATCATCAATATATCTCCTATACAATTCAGGGACTCGACCTGTGTACAGTAGCCACACCTGGTATTCCAGAAAACCCATGAAGAGGCAGGCATAACTAGGGCCCATTTTAGTGCCCATAGCCACACCATTAATTTGGGCAAAGTACTTGCCGTTAAACTCAAAAGAATTGAGAGTCAGAACCAACTCGGCTAAACGTATGATGGGTTCAGTGGCAGTGGCTGGATTACTGCGTTTGTCCAGAAAGAAACGCAAAGCCGAGAGGCCATCACTGTGAGGGATGGAGGTATACAGTGAGGCCACATCCAAAGTAAAGACCTGATACCTACTATGGTCTGAGGTGAAAATCATAGACTCAAAAGTTACAATGGCATGGTTGGTGTCCTTCAGGTAAGACGGGAGCTCGGCCACTAATGGCTGAAAAATGCTGTCCAAAAATGCAGATACATGCTCGGTTGGACACGAGCAAGCTGAAACTATGGGCCTCCCTGGGGTGTCTTCTTTATGAATTTTAGGCAGCATGTTGAAGCTAGGTTTCCCCAAACAGCTGTCATAAATGTGAAGTGACTTGGCTCTCTGGGGAAGGAGGTCTTGTGTGATGAGTGTCGTCACCACTGATTTCACTATATGATTGTTAGCCAGCGTGGCGTCTTCCATGCGCGGGTGGTAGGAAGCACCATCCTGAAGTTGTCGCTGCCCTTCTTGGATATATAGATCTTTCCGCCAGACCACGATTGCTCCCCCTTTGTCTGCGGGTTTGATGACGATGTCCTCACGACGCTGTAACTGAGTTACTGCTTGTTGTTCCGCTAGCGTGAGATTGGAATGCCTAAGTGGCTTTGGCTTCAGTTGTTGTACATCAAACAGGGTTTTGGCAATATATAAATCCAATGCTGCAGATGTGCCTGGATTAGGGGTCCAGGTTGACTTCCGTTTGGAAATTCTAGTGAAAAAATCATCATCTGCAGCAGCCGAGTTCGTATCGCAGTTTCTCGTGCTGTGAAAAAATTTTAGTCGGAGTAACCTGATGAAACGATGGACATCCTGCAGGGAAGCGTACCTGTCACAAGAAGGTTTCAGGGGAACAAAACGAAGACCCTTGTTTAAGACTGATTTTTCTGCGTTAGATAAAGGGAGATCTGGGGGGATGCACACCACTAGCTTGTCATTATTGGTTTGTGAACAGGAGGGGAGTGACGGGGTGGGCTGACGTGGGCGTAGGTTGGTCAGTTTAATGTTCTTAGCCGCGGTCAGAGATTTATAGAGCCGGTGGTTAGAGGTATTTATAATACAACGGATGACACAGTACAAAAAGTAGTTGCGACTAGTCAGATCGCGCAGGCGTTTGTCCAGTGGGGTAATCTGACACTGGAGGTCAGCCAGATTCCGTCGATGGTTATCCAGGACACAACGCATACGAAGAATAGCGCATTTACTCTCTACCTGAGACAGGCGTTTAGCACAGACAGCATGTAATCTACCCGCCGACATGTTGAATCGGGGCGTAAACCCGCGTGGGGTGATCTTATAACGTAAACAGTTATGAAGAAAGTTAATATGGCAGCCAATGCATCTTCGGTGTCTTGTATCCACCTTCTGCGTCGTTGCACCCTCAACACCGTTAACTCCAGACAACCATAACGTTAAACATGGCCAAACACCCCAGCTGTCGGGACAGGCAGACACGTGAACAGAAAAGCAAACCGACAGATCGACTGGCATACCGATGAACGAACAGACACACGAACGGACAGATGTGTTACCCCCACTGTAGTATCGAAAGTTGTTGGACACGGCAAAGGACACGGAGACAGGCCCTATTGTCTCTACCGCCTTCTGTAGAGCCACTTCGCTCTTATGCGGCAACACACCGACGTAATCATACACCGTCGCCTGGACCTGTTGGGCTTTAAAGTCACACGGTTCGTCCTGTAATATAAAGTATGGAGCATCATCGTCGCATCTGCACATACATAAATCAAGCAAAACCACACTAACACACACACACACACACACACACACACACACACAAATCACTTAACTGACGTACCCAGAAGCAGTCCCGTTGGTTTCTTGTCAGTGGAATGAAAAGACACGTGTGGCCCAAGACTAAAAGCATAAGGCTCGTACTCCATTCCTCTATTTCGTTCTATCCTGTGTAACCAGTTCAATATCATGGAGGGAATCCAGTCAGGCAGCTTTGGCCTCTAACATCAACCTTTCTTTCAGCGTTTCTTCTGGGCGTTCTCGCTTACTTTATCCTTTTATTTCTCACTGTAGTGCTTGTTTGCCGATTCTATGTTGGTTTATTCTCAGGATGTGTCCAATTTAGCGCCATCTTCTTTGTCTTAACCAGACATTTCTCTTATGTCTTCACCACTTTTGAATTGACCCCATCTTCAGTTCAACAGCTTCACGTCACGTGTTGTCGAATGTGTTTACATTTCGCTAAAAATCTTCAGTGGTTCTTACACTTTCAGTTGTAAATGGTGACAGAGAAAAAAAAAACGAAATTAAAATTGAAAATTACGTAATTTGGTTTTAAAACGATGTGTCCGCAGCGGAGTCTGTCGTGATGTTAAACAATGGCTGATGGTCAGGTTTCGTTCGGTCTGGCTAAATGTGAATCATCATCCCGGAACACTGCCTGTCGTTTGGTCACCAGTTGCTGTTGACTGTCTCATCAGAACCTTCCACTTTTTGACGTTCAGATGTGATGGACTTCAAGGTTGCATGCCTAGGACCTGTCCAATCAGTCAAGTTCTGTATCCAGGTCTTCCTCTTCCTCTCTACTAAGTTCTGTAGTATTGCTCTTGAGAGGCTGTTAGATCTTATTGCATGTCCGTACTATTGTATTTGTCTTTCTTTTTACTGTAGTTAAACCAGGTTCATAGACGCCAGTGGGCTGGGTAATTATAAGACGAACCTCGTCATGTGGTCTCTGTATGATAGGCCAATCATTTCCCCCCTGAAGGACAGCATTTCCAGGGCTTGTATCTTCTGTTGTAGATTAGCAGTTGATGTCCATGCCAAGTGCCTTATGCAATCATATTCTACATGTACGGCCAACTTATCCTCAGTGTCTATTTCCATCAGACTTTCCCAGGACTATTGGGGGAGGAGGGGGGGGGCGGGGGCAGTTTTTTAGATTGGGCAGTGAGAGGAGGATTCAATGTGATGTTCGCTTGCATAAGAATGGCAGCGATTATGGACCATTACTTTAAATATTCCTAAATGTGTCTGTTCAGAGAAAGAAAAAAAACCATCGCTATCTCATATTTTATTATCAACGTCCGTAAACACAGACTCTCTGCTAGTGTCTGCACAGTTTGTACGCAACACGCGTCTGACTAGCAGGATCTAAGATTGGGAGTGTGTTCAATGCCAGCGTGTGAGTTTGTTTTCCACTATTTTGTGAGCTCAAGGGCTAGATTATATAGTATACTAGCTGTACCCGGCCGCGCGTTGCTGTGGCGTAATTGGAGATAGTCTTTGATCCCCACACCACCCTCCCCCCCCCCCCCCCAACCCCACAACTAAATCCACCTACTACCCTCTCCCTCATCAAAAGTTTTTAGAAAAGAAAGACAATGGAAATCGCACCTGTCTAATGAAGTTAATGACGCAGTCAATGTCTGCGCCGACGTCGAGATAGTCCTTGATTGCCCCCCCCCCCCCCCCATCGCCCCCCCCCCCCGCATCGAAGGTTGTTTGAAAAAAAAAACACAGAAAATAGAAATCGTGTTAAATATGGTTATTGTGGCAAATATAGAGATAGTCTTGTTTGCGGTACCTCGACCTACTCTATGTATTAAGGCGTTGGCTGAACGTAACTCGCCGGCGAATGGCGGAAGCCTTGCGTTCTGACTACGGCGGCGCATGCGCAATTACTAACGTGACTATAATTAGAAATCACTAAAGTTATAAATATTAGTTGCGAATATTATGGCATAAATTGTGGTCACCTATCTCTAACAGTGACAGGTTGAATTTCAAACCACGATGATTCAAAATCCGGCATCAAAACAAACATATCCTGAAAATTTCAGCTAAATCGGTTCAGTAGTTTCCGAGTCTATAGGGGGCAAACAAACACACAAACATTGATTTTTATATATATAGATAGTTATGTTATACCAGCCTTGGGGGGAACCAATAAAGTTTTCTGGGCGGGCCAGCCTAACCTAGCAGGCCATAGTTTGCCCACCCGTGCTCTACACGACCTATATGTCAAAGGCTCAGTCCTACCCCATCTTTGCAAAGCCGGATTAACCGTTAAATACACCAAGCGGGTGCTTAGGGCAACAAAATGGGAGGGGCTACCACTTAAAGGAACCCAATGGTAGGGGCTACCACATAAAGGAACACAATGGGAGATGCTATCACATAAAGGAACACAATGGGAGATGCTATCACATAAAGGAACACAATGGGAGATGCTATCACATAAAGGAACACAATGGGAGATGCTATCACATAAAGGAACACAATGGGAGATGCTATCACATAAAGGAACACAATGGGAGATGCTATCACATAAAGGAACACAATGGGAGGGGCTACTACATAAAGGAACACAAAATAGACGAACATTTATTTTATTTTTTTTGGTTAAAGTATAGTTTACAAGTCCTGTCAAAACCAAACATCAACAAGACAGGCCGAATGCCTCCTCTCTATTAAGTATAGAAGCTATAGAAGATGTTATATAACATTATGTTGAACACCTAATCAAAAATGCAAATAGCGGGGAGATGAATGGGCGTAGTTCACGAGGCAGACCAAGACGATCGAGAAATAATGTCAAGACAGACCTGCAAACACTTGGTGTCACCAACTGGAAAGAGAAGGCCAATCAGAGAGATGAATGGAGGCGGGTGATATCTGCAGCAATGAACCTCAAAGGATCGGAATGCTGAAGAAGAAGAAGATTAAAGACTTCGCAATTTGAACGCCCCCCCCCCCCCACCCCTTTTTTCCAAATAAGAGAAAACTTTTCAAATGAAAATAAAGTGAAAGTATTCAAGCTAACTGTAGGTTTTGTTTCATTTCGATAATTAACTTTTTTTATTTCATCGTTTATTATTGTTTATATTTGTTATGACATATATGGGGAGCACTAATGCACGGACCCGCTGCCTACTTGTCCGGGGGCTCAGGAGCATAGGTGTCTATGCTTAATTGTGTATATCAAGTAACCACGTACATTTCATTCCCGTGCGTTGTTGTCACAGGGGCCCCATACACGGGGTTTGTTTAGGGGCCAATAATGCTTGTAAGACGTCTCTGGGTGGAGGAGGGAGAGGTCGTTTAAGTGCTTAGGGCCTGAAGTGATCCTAATTTTATCATGCTTCTGTGAATGAGTAATTAGCCAGGTGTGTTACTCACCTGTTCTCTGTACGGGTAGGTGTCTTCTCCTTCGATACCTTTACTGTTCATCAGGTATTCGTATGCCATGAACACAAATCCGCCACGACACCCAAAGTTCAAATAGTCTCTGGAACAGTCCATTAGCTGTTGTTCGGACAGGGAGATAAGCTTCCCAGTTTTTCGAAACCATTGGCCTTCAAGCGCTCCAGTCTACGAAAGTAGGACAAAGGGCAAACTGGGCGTACAAAGCAACTATGAACATCCTAACTACAGCGAAAATGCAAATGGTACAGATATGTAATAAGATCTAACTGCCTTTACACAAGAATAACACACACACAAATAATACAGAACTCAGTAGAGGGGAAGAGGAGTTTAGGCTGACCAAGAAAACCCTGGATACAGAACTTGGTTGACCGGATAGACCTTAGGGAGGCAGCGTGAAGTCTATCGCATCTGACTGTCAAAGGTGGAGGGAGCTGATCAGATAATCAACAGCAACTGGCGACCCAATGACACGGAGTTTTACAGGGTGATGATGATGATGATGATGATGAAGTTATGGCGTTACAACGATTGCGTGGTCTTCGTCGTCGACCGGCTGTAAGCGCCAGCGGAAGGTTATAATCCACCTCTGGGCTTTTGGTCTCGTTCCAGAACTTGAGATTTGTGTGCATATCTGTTTCACCGAGCTGGATAACATGTATGCAGACTGATAGTTGCTCGCCTCTCGGGCAGGTATGCACTCGAACTTCTAAAGAAACACCGTCAGTTAGTCGGCCATCACGACATGCTTTTTAGGCGTCATTTGGTATATTCTCCCCCGCCCCCCCCCCCCCCCCCCCCCCCCCCCCCCCCCCCCCCCCCTCCCCAGAAATTACCTTTAAAGGTACGCACGCACGCGCGCGAGCACACATAGATACCGAAAAATCATCATCGTAATCATTTTGAGCATCATCATACAAACAAACATACTCTTTCCTAAAGGTAGCAGCCACACTAAATACCTCCTTCTTCTGATAGTTCATGCTGTATGGTGCGTTGGTAGTCATGTTTATTCACAACCTTCTGTCTCGTGTACTTTCAGTCATTTCTGGCACACATGATCTTCCATAGTTCATGCTGTATGGTGCGTTGGTAGTCATGTTTATTCACAACCTTCTGTCTCGTGTACTTTCAGTCATTTCTGGCACACATGATCTTCCATAGTTCATGCTGTATGGTGCGTTGGTAGTCATGTTTATTCACAACCTTCTGTCTCGTGTACTTTCAGTCATTTCTGGCACACATGATGTTCCATAGTCTATGCTGTGTGGTGCGTTGGTAGTCATGTTTATTCACAACCTTCTGTCTCGTGTACTTTCAGTCATTTCTGGCACACATGATGTTCCATAGTTATATGCGTGTGTGGTGCGTTGGTAGTCATGTTTATTCACAACCTTCTGTCTCGTGTACTTTCAGTCATTTCTGGCACACATGATGTTCCATAGTCCATGCCGTGTGGTGCGTTGGTAGTCATGTTTATTCACAACCTTCTGTCTCATGTAATTTCAGTCATTTCTGGCACACATGATCTTCCATAGTCTATGCCGTGTGGTGCGTTGGTAGTCATGTTTATTCACAACCTTCTGTCTCGTGTACTTTCAGTCATTTCTGGCACACATGATGTTCCATAGTCCATGCCGTGTGGTGCGTTGGTAGTCATGTTTATTCACAACCTTCTGTCTCGTGTACTTTCAGTCATTTCTGGCACACATGATCTTCCATAGTCCATGCCGTGTGGTGCGTTGGTAGTCATGTTTATTCACAACCTTCTGTCTCGTGTACTTTCAGTCATTTCTGGCACACATGATCTTCCATAGTCCATGCCGTGTGGTGCGTTGGTAGTCATGTTTATTCACAACCTTCTGTCTCGTGTAATTTCAGTCATTTCTGGCACACATGATCTTCCATAGTCTATGCCGTGTGGTGCGTTGGTAGTCATGTTTATTCACAACCTTCTGTCTCATGTAATTTCAGTCATTTCTGGCACACATGATCTTCCATAGTCTATGCCGTGTGGTGCGTTGGTAGTCATGTTTATTCACAACCTTCTGTCTCGTGTACTTTCAGTCATTTCTGGCACACATGATGTTCCATAGTCCATGCCGTGTGGTGCGTTGGTAGTCATGTTTATTCACAACCTTCTGTCTCGTGTACTTTCAGTCATTTCTGGCACACATGATCTTCCATAGTCCATGCCGTGTGGTGCGTTGGTAGTCATGTTTATTCACAACCTTCTGTCTCGTGTAATTTCAGTCATTTCTGGCACACATGATCTTCCATAGTCTATGCCGTGTGGTGCGTTGGTAGTCATGTTTATTCACAACCTTCTGCCTCGTGTACTTTCAGTCATTTCTGGCACACATGATGTTCCATAGTCCATGCCGTGTGGTGCGTTGGTAGTCATGTTTATTCACAACCTTCTGTCTCGTGTACTCTCAGTCATTTCTAGCACACATAGTCCTCCATACCACGATGTCAAACTGTCTGGCATATTCTCTTTCAGTTCTCCCTCTGCCTCTCATTCCCTATGATTTTCCCAGCATGAACTCCAGCTTCCCTTTTCTCCTGAAGTGGCCAAAGAAGGCACCATCTACACTTGAATGATGCAATATGTACCATTTACCGAGGCTTTACATGGCTTTTCCCGTAGTGCTATGGTGTCAGATTTTAAAACTAACAATGTACACACAGAAACGTACTGCACTAAAAGCCCAACAGGATCCGCACTGCCCCTGAAAAGAAACAAAAACAAAAATATGCATTAAGTACCCTCCCAGGAAGGTCGACTGGTTATCTATACATGTGTACCGCGTCAGTTAGCTAGACCACGCTTCAGTGTATGTTTCGTATTCTTGTTCTTGTTCTTGTTCTTGTTCTTCTTCTTCTTCTTCTTCTTCTTCTTCTTCTTCTTCTTCTTCTTCTTCTTCTTCTTCTTCTTCTTCTTCTTCTTTGTCTTCTTTTTCTTCTTCTTCCTCTAGTTCTTCTTATTCTTCTTCTTCTTCTTATTTTTCTTCTTGTTCTTCTTCTTCCGATCCTATCCATCTCTCTTCTGCTTTCGCGTTGTTTCTTTCCCTCTCTTCTTCCTGCTTCTCTCTCTCTCTCATTCCCAAACGTCTGTCATTTTATAAGTCTCAACCACCCTTACTGCCACTCTCTACCTCTTTCATTATTTATCAATATCTTTATTTTCTTCTCCTTCTCCTGTGTTCGCCTTTAAAAGGGCAACTGTCAGTTTGTGTTGAAATGTTCGTCTAGGCTACGTTATCTCAACATTTCAGCTCAAAACATGCGATTTCAGGAAATTCCTAATTAGTCGACCTAAGCTGTGATTTTATTTTTTTTCCTACCACCAAAGACCCCCCCCCCCACACACACACACACACACACACGCACACACACAATCACACACAATAGGTCTCCAGAGCACATACGGTCAAAATATCCTTAAGTCAAACGCGGGCTCAGTTCACGTTTCCCGGCCAATCTACTCTGGCTGACTTTAGATTCATACACTCAGTATCTTCTACATCGGAGAGGTGTCACGTTGTCTTGCCCTCAATAACATCGGCGCCAAAGACGTGTTTCTGTCTGTACTACACGACAACTCAGCTTCTAACGACTGTACGAAGTCTAGAACTTGCCCTAAACCAACCCCCCCCCCCCACCACCCCTTTCCACACACACACCCTTACCCACAGCCTGAGTTTAAGTCACACTAAAGACACCTTTTGACAAAAGCAGTATAACGTGACACCTCTCTGACCTGAGAAAGTGTGTAGATGGGCCGGGAAACGTGAACAGGTCCCAAATGCAATATTTTATGAGGGGAAAAAAGGTAGACCCCTACCTGGTCCTTGACCCCTGTCACATAACCTTTAGACCGCCAATCAACGCTGGCTGCCGTGGCGAAACCTTTGACCTGCTGACCCTTGACGACGTAACTCCCATTCATGTTCAACGGCGGCGAGAATCGGCGTAGTTCTTCTGTCGTCTGCAAAAGTACAGAAGTTGGGAATTATAACTGCAGTACATGACCAAACCAAATTAAAGGCCAACTGAACAGATGGACTGGGTGATGCTAAATACACTAGATCTAAGGAAGGCAGGCACTGACACAAAGAATGCATTATGGGGCAAAGACAAGTGTGTGTGTGTGTGTGTGTGGCCCCGGGGGGAGGGGGGTTAGGGGTGGGAATATGCTCAACGCACCTAAGCTTTGACGGTCTGGCGCCATTGTAAGTAATCCTCAGAATACCCAGCCATAAAAAGTATAAACTGTGAGTTGCCATTTGCAAAAACAAACAAAAAATAGAGATCATTAGTATGGGAAAGCCGCTCATACAGGGGGTATCAAAGCAGAAGTTATGGGATGGGGTGATGTTTGCTTATCTTTCACAGAATGTTGCAAAACCAAACACGAACATATTTTGGATGTTGTCGTTTATCTAGGCAAATTTACCTCAGTGGTTTACTTTGCCCCTGAACGGTCGACTCTCGGTAGCTTCGAAACCAACACAAGACAATCTGCTGCCATATCGCCAGCAGCTGGGATTGAATCCGGCATCCCGGCATTTCGAATGGCGTTCGCATCGCATAAAGCCACATACGTCGACAACGTTATGAAAGCAAATGTACATAGAATATGTAAACACCAATAGGCGGTTAAATGGGAAACAAATTGGTTGAGGAAACGTAGACGTCCGAGAGCAAACTCTAAAAACAGACGTTACTGAGAGATACCAAAAGCGTTGGAGTGGATACCATCCATGATATCGGGACGACTGCACAAGCTACAGCGGAACTGATAATTATACGTGTAACGCACAATAGAATGATGATGATGATGGTTGTATTGTGTTAATTATGCTGGTGATGATGATGATGATGATGATGACTGTTATGACATGCATAATTATGAAGTCTAATAGTTACGTCTTAAAAAATCATTGTTAATATTAGATCATAAATAATAACCTGTCATCATCATCAGGTGCCTTGCCGACTGGCGTGGGCGATCATGCCTCTCCATAATCCGCGATCTCCTGCAGCATGTATCAGTTTGTGTGCCGATACACCTCCATGCCATGCAACAAGACTGTCAAGCATCTTCTCTCGTTGTCTTCCTCTATCCCTCCTTCCACTATACTTATAACATAAATAATAATCCAGTGTGAGAACTGGAAAGTAAAATCCTTACCCAGTCTGAGAATTTGTTAACGCCCATCCAATAAGTTGCAAGCCCATGGTGAAAATGCCAGTTATGACGTTCAATTTGTTTTAAGTTGTCCCTGAAAATGGCCAACCTTTCCAGCTCTTCCCTGGCAGACCTGTAGACTCGTTCTGTGGATTTTGAGAAACAAAACTCTAGTTCGTTTATACTTAATCTCAATTAATGATAAAGTGTTCCAAACATTTGTCCCTTTCTACACCTAGTGTAACTTTGCAAAAGCAGAATTTACTGCTGTTGTGTTGCTGATGCTGCTACCGCTACAATTACTATCACTATCACTGTTACTACCACCACTAATACTACAAATACTACTGCTATTTCTACTGAGCCCTAAATTGCTTGTTTTAATTTTTTAAGAGATGGATTAAGCCAGGTAGTTTTCAAAATAGGCCAAGTAACATTTGCGGTCAGCTGGAATGCTTGGGCTAACACACTTGTGAAGTTTTTCGGAGTGAAGTGAATAGTGGAACTGTGATTGTTACATTTTCGAAATGAGCTGCTGTGAAGTGTTAAGTGTTAATAACTTTGCTGCGAAATGTTGTGTACCTAAGTGTAGGTCGAATTTTGATACTTCAAGTGGATGTGTGAGTGTGTTTAAAATTCTTTCAGATGCTGAGTTAAGAGAAAGATGGCGTAAATTAGTTCCACGGAAACAAAATTAGACACATGTAAAAACCAGTGTAGTATGTGTGAAACATTATTTTACATCAGATATTATTGTTTCTGACAAATACACAGACAAATCTTGAGTTGAGCATGTACTTCGAGAAAGAAACCTGCTTTAAGAAAAGATGCTTATCAAAGTGTCTGTTCATATATTAAAGACGGCAGCTACCGCATCTCCTGCAGCTTCCTTAATTTTATTTGCTCCTGAGTCCTAGCCATCTAGTTTAGCCCCAATCCACGCCGCGTGAGCGGCGTACGGAACACTCTCAGCGGTGGCTGAAGTTGCCTGAAGTTCGCAATTTGGCGGTGGCGTTATAGTCCCCGGAAGTGCGCAATTGACACGTGATTGAGGCCCTGTTGGGGTATATTTTCCGCCTCGATAATTTACGGCCATTATTCAGAGGATAGCCTTTTATTATATTTATTTGTCATTCAGCACATTATTACTGTTTTTGTTATTATTTATATTATTGTTATTATTACTATGACTATTATTATATCACCATTGTTATTATTATTATCAATATTCGGATACGTGTACGCTTATCCAATGTTAGGCCCTTTAAAGCGCGCGCCCTCTTGAAAATTTTTTAGGGGGTTTGTGTTACACCCCCCCCCCCCAGTCACCCCACTTCTTTGTTTCGGTTTCCCTGAGGGTAACATTTTGTTTCCGTGGAGCTAATTTTAGCTATTTTTGTTTTCTCAACTCAGCAACCGAGGGAAATTTAAACACACTCACACATCCACTTGAAGTATCATAATTCGACCTACACTTATGTGCACAACATTTCGTAGGCAAAGTTAATAACACTAAACACTTCACAGCAGCATCTTTCGAAAAGGGTATACTTACTGTGATCCAGTTTAAACTGCCTCCACGCCGCGTCGTGATCGCCGTACGACAGTCTGTATCGCCCTGCAGCTTCCATGGCTGACACGTCAGGTTTCCGCGCCACATTGGCGCCATTTGTTGCAGCGGGACTTTATGAATACCCGTTGACTGATTCCCTCCTTGCCAGCTTGGAAATGCTTCACTGTGTTCGCTTGTTCGGCAAATAACGTGCAATATTCCAGCAGTACGCAACAGATGATGATGATGAAGATGTCTCTAACAGAAGACATTTTGAATATTTATATATTTTTAATGTACACAAAAGCCTAGCGCATAAATTGTATTCACAATTATTTTAACAAATCTGGCTTCCACG